TTGCAAGTATATGGAATAGGTGGTAAGTTACTAAATGCTGTAAAGAGTTTTTATGAGGTTAGTGAGGCTCAGGTTAGAGTGTGTAGAAGAGAGGGAGACTACTTCCCGGTAAAAGTAGGTCTTAGACAGGGATGTGTAATGTCACCATGGTTGTTTAATATATTTATATATGGGGTTGTAAAAGAAGTAAATGCTAGGGTGTTCAGGAGAGGGGTGGGATTAAATTATGGGGAATCAAATACAAAATACTTTTTGCTGATGATACTGTGCTTATGGGAGATTCTAAAGGAAAATTGCAAAGGTTAGTGGATGAGTTTGTGAGTGTGTGTAAAGGTAGAAAGTTGAAAGTGAACATAGAAAAGAGTAAGGTGATGAGGGTATCAAATGATTTAGATAAAGAAAAATTGGATATCAAATTGGGGAGGAGTATGGAAGAAGTGAATGTTTTCAGATACTTGGGAGTTGACGTGTTGGTGGATGGATTTATGAAGGATGAGATTAATCATAGAATTGATGAAGAAAAAAAGGTGAGTGGTGCATTGAGGTATATGTGGAGTCAAAAAACATTAACTATGGAGGCAAAGAAGGAAATGTATGAAAGTATAGTAGTACCAACACTCTTATATGGGTGTGAAGCTTGGGTTGTGAATGCAGCAGCGAGGAGGCAGTTGGAGGCAGTGGAGATGTCCTGTCTAAGGGCAATGTGTGGTGTAAATATTATGCAGAAAATTTGGAGTGTGGAAATTAGGAGAAGGCGTGGAGTTAATAAAAGTATTAATCAGAGGGCTGAAGAGGGGTTTTTGAGGTGGTTTGGCCATTTGGAGAGAATGGATCAAAGAAGAATGACATGGAGAGCATTTAAATCTGTAGAAGGAAGGAGGGGTAGGGGTCGTCCTCGAAAAGGTTGGAAGGAAGGGGTAAGGGAGGTTTTTTGGGCGAGGGGCTTGGACTTCCAGCAGGCGTGCATGAGCATGTTCGATAGGAGTGAATGGAGACGAATGGTATTTGGGACCTGATGATCTGTTGGAGTGTGAGCATTGTAATATTTAGTGAAGGGATTCAGGGAAACCGGTTATTTTTATATAGCTGGACTTGAGTCCTGGAAATGGGAAGTACAATGCCTGCACTCTAAAGGAGGGGTTTTGGGATATTAGCAGTTTGGAGGGATATGTTGTGTATCTTTATACATATATGCTTCTAAACTGTTGTGTTCTGAGCACCTCTGCAAAAACAGTGATTATGTGTGAGTGACATGAAAGTGTTGAATGATGATGAAAGTATTTTCTTTTTGGGGATTTTCTTTCTTTTTGGGTCACCCTGCCTCGGTGGGAGACGGCCAACTTGTTGAAAAAAAAAAAAAAAATTTCCCTCCAGCCGTCAAGTACACCTTTGTAGCATATAAACAGCATGTTTATGTGCTATATAACATGTTTCTTATATAATTTTGAAGAAAATATCATAGATGGATTAATGAAATGTCAATATTGATGTAAAATTAGATATTTAATGTGCCCTCGAGTGATTATTATTACATAATAGATAGATGTGCTCATGGAGAATGTAAAACTGGGTGGCCCTTGCCGTATTTGAAAGACCACTTGCCGTATAGAAAGTTTTGGTCATAATTTGAGATTGCCATATTAACGGAACGCCGTAAGGCAAAACGCCGAAAAGCGGGGCCCTACTGTACCTTGATGCCAATTAGAAGCTCGATTCAAGAAATTGTACCTATCCTCCCTTCCATGTATCAAACCTGATTTCCAAATATTTCCCATACTCTGTATGTTCCCAGTGGGTTTAGCACTCCCCATGAATAATGATAATACAACAATAACCTAATAATAAACATTTTATGATTTTACAGGCTCTCCCTACATTATGCAGTAGATGCATGACAGGCACATTTGTATAAAGTGAATATAATCTACATAGAAACTGATGTATGTGCCTAGACAAAAATTTCCAATTTCTTGATTAACTTTTTTTTTAATGTAAGAGCATTTCATGTTCAAACAACCATATGCAAACATATTACAGTATGCAAAAAAATTTCATTTGATGAAAACAATACTTGAGGGAAAAAATATGGAATTCAGTCCTTATTAACACTTAACCCTTCCCTATCAAAAAAAAAAAAATACTGAAAAAAAATAATTGATATGTTGTGTCCACTGTACTGATCCACCATATACTACACACAGTGCACATCATTCAATCAAACTTACGTTGTATGCACAGCATTAATCCACTGATCAAATAAAAGTGAGCTACATCAACCCATGCTTTTATTATACAAACCACACTGATCACTTGAAGAGGAATTTACTTTGAACAAAGCAAATTAATGGTAGACATTGCATTTTAATATAAAAAAGAATTTGCTTATAAGGAACCTGCATAAAATTAGAAATCCTGTGGAGTATATGGGTATCATGTCTCCTCTCTCTGCTACATATCTAGTACACATTTTCAGTGTTTTCAGTTTTTCTTTTGCATTTCATACATATTTACGAGCCTTGGGAGCTATTTTTGACACACTCTTTCTGACTTTGTTTATTTTATTTATTTTATCACTGTTGTATATATTCTTCATACGACCAGTTTTTGCTTTCTTTAATTTTTATTATGTGGTTCAAAACTGTTACAGTGCAGTATACAATATTTACTTTGAAAACATTGCTGACTAAATATTTCTGTGTACAGTCAAGTAGGTCCTCCACTTATAACATTAATGCATTCCTGATAATTGGTTGTTGAATGTTCACAACTCAGAACCTCTTTTTTTCCCTAGGCACTCATATTATAATTGAAGAGCTCCCAAGCCATAATATTCCATATCTTATTTCATATAATTTCTAAATGAAATTAAAAACATTGTTCTGTACAATATAGTTTTTAGATGAGACCTTTCTGTTTCTTTCCCTCCCTCCCATTTCCTCTCTCCTAATGCCTTACCTTCTTCCCTATCTTACATTCCCTCCCTCTCATTAGCTCCCATTATTTTTCCCATCATATCTGATAGGACATTTTATATATGATTGCCACCATTTTACTGATACCAGTATCAGTGAAGGTTTTAGATGTCTGGGCATATGACACATGTTATTGGGAAGTTGTCAGGGTATTGCTTGGGTAGGGAGGGAGGGTGCTAAGTAGAGCCAGTGTGTGGAGAGAAGAGAGAGGATATTTCCCTCCCTTAACCCCTTGACTGTCGCAACCCCCAATCCTGAGGTGTCTCCTGGTGTCGCAAAATTTAAAAAAAAAAAAAATTATTTTTTCTTATGAAATGATAGAGAATCTTTTCCCCATTGTAATGACACCAAAAAAAAAAAAACGAAATTTGATGGAAAACTGACGAAATTACGCTCTCGCGAAGTTAGCGACCTAGGTGATATTTACAAATCGGCAATTTTGCCCAATTTGAGCCCTATTTTAGGCTAATTCCAGTGTTCCAGTCGACCAAACGCATAGCTATTTCTTTAGAACTCCATTTTTTCTATCGATTGAGTACAAGAAATTGCCCATTTACCAATTTCACCTACCCAATAATGTGGTCAGAAATTTGCAATTGGGCCAATTTCACAAAAATTAAAAAATATGACAATTTCAAAATAAGGTCCAGAATGAACAATGCAGACATTCCTGGCTCTAAAATAACATTTTCTTTGTTCATCAGTCATGTCTCCAGGCCCCTCTGATATTACTCTTGCTTTCTGTTTTGAATTTTTATTCAAACAAAAAATAGAAGATTTACTATTATGCATACTACTGCAATACTGTAATAATTGTATACATAACATCAACCCATTCATGACTGCATATTAGAATGGCTAGTTGGACATTTATTAGACAATGACATCATTTGCTTACTTTTGAACATCGGCAAAAATCAAACATTTCCCCTTCTTTGAGCTCCATTTCCAGGTTCTTTTTATAGTAAAATCAATCAAAATCACCACTATTTCTATAATATGTTTTCTGTTCTATAAAATGAGACCAAGAAGACGAGAATACAACCATAAATACTATATGAAAATAGACCACAAAGTTGGCATTTTAATTAAAAAAATGGTCAGTTTTTTTTCTCATTATGCACTGCATGCTGCAGGATTTTTTTATATGGTGCATACTGACCACACAAACCCATTCTCTCACATGTGGGCCCCCACTTTCTCCTTGATTTAAAGCCGCTAGAATTTATGAGTGTATATACGTCAAACATGGTACCTCGTAAGACGTATATACATGTATACGGCCACGACAGTCAAAAGGTTAACCGTGACCACCGGGATTGGGCTAGAACCCACCTTCTTAGGCCCCTTTGGAAACCCAAATATGTATTTTTAGGTCCAAAACCACCCATCATCCTGGGGCTGTGGCATTCCTCCCAACACCCATTCACCTCCCTCCCTACCAGCCTTTTCTGTCCTTGGCCTCCAGTAGGGGTGGGGGCCCTTCCCTTCTATGTCCCTGGCAACCCCACTAGTATAAAATGAACACATGCAACTTTCAGTACATTTGGTGAAAAACACGAAAAATGTTTATTGAAAGTAATTTTTTGAATTATATATATGAAATGACGCGATCTTGTTTGAAAATTTTAATTGTCCCCCAAAAGGGCCCCGGGATCATCAAATTTAGTAACTTTTGTTTTAAAAAATAAAAAATTTTGCTTTAGGGAAAGTGTCTTTATAATACAGTACAGTGGACCCCTGGTTAACGATATTTTTTCACTCCAGAAGTATGTTCAGGTGCCAGTACTGACCGAATTTGTTCCCATAAGGAATATTGTGAAGTAAATTAGTCCATTTCAGACCCCCAAACATACACGTACAAACGCACTTACATAAATACACTTACATAATTGGTCGCATTCGGAGGTAATCGTTATGCGGGGGTCCACTGTATATTGAATAGTTGTCTCACGAAATGTTTTTGCCATGAATATGTGAATATGCAGATTATACTCTTATTTTCCTCTAGTCATTGTTAAATTTTAGTGGTTGGACCGTCATGAGATCAAGCGACGGCACCCACTGCTACACACTGCTGACTTGGAGGGTGGTGTGTGGGTACCTGGTGATGCTGTTGCTGACCCTTATGCTGTGTGTACAACATTTGCATCATTGGCACAGAGTCAAGGTTGGTTTTTATCTGTTATTTGCATTTTGAAAAGGGAATGTGCAAATATCAACTTTTCTGTATTTACCCAAATAAGTGTTGATTTAATATTAACAAAAATGCTTGGATAGTTAGAGTTCAGTGACTATACAAAGTGCTACACTACACTAGAACTTAAGTTGTCAGCTGACCTCACAACAGAAATGGGTTATAAAGTAAAAAATATGAATACATAAGTCACATAATACAATGTTTCTTCAGTTTTTGCATAAGTTTTTTCTCTGTACAGTCATTCCAGCAAATTCGTGAGCTTTCTTTTTTGCGAGTTTTGATTATCAGCCTACGGATAATTTCAGTTATCCATCTTTTTTTTTTTTTTTTGCAGTACCTATTTTTTTCAGACTTGGTGCACAACCCCTAAATTGAAAAGTAATCATAAAATTTCATTCGTGTTGTTCTCAGATGATTAATATAGTCATATATTACAGAGATATGGTCTTTGAAACAAAATTAACCCTGATCTGAAGCAAAGTTTGATATGCAGACATTATTTTGTCTTGCAGGCATTTATGACTTTTAGTTTTGCTGGATCTCTAGGTATGTAATTAGCCCCCATCCCTCCCTTAGAATTTATAGTGACTGCTGTACAGTACAGGTCGGCCATCACTAATCTGGCATCATTGGAACCTGTAGTGTGCCGGATTAGTGAGTTTGCCAGATTACAGAGTGGTTAGGTTAGAATAAACTTAATTAACCTATCAATAGAGACTATTTCTGCTACATCTTCCTCATTTTCATCACTGCTTTCTCCTTCACTGACTTTCTGCTGTGGATCTACAACCATCTGCGCAATTTCCGAGTCAATATAATGATGAAATTTGAGTCAGTATAATGATGAAATTCGAAATTATGCAAGCCAAAATTAGTGCCGGATTACTGATGGAACTGGTTAACTGACTGCCGGATTAGTGATGGCTAACCTGTATATGGTAATTTTTACTTTTATGTTTTAATGATGTACATTACTTATTTCAAATATCTATTAACACACAAAATTCCTTTCTTTATATTTTTTTCAAAATTAATCTGCAATAGGAATACTGTATGCTATGCTGATGACTACCAAATTGTCTTTAGATAATATTACATTTGTGCTTAAAAAGCTATTTGAATTTTTTTTGTTTTGCCTCAGTCTTGTACAGTGCCAGGGTATTGCCAAAAGAGTACATTTTATGCTATGTATTTCTCAAAATCATTTTCTTTTCATAAAAAAACTAATCTCCAGAAAACATTCTATCTACCCTTAATCTTTTTGGTGTTAGCCCTATTATGTAATGGATTTGAAGAGTGTTGGTTCCATAGTATTACGCCATGAGCTCAACTCACTCAGATAAGCTGTGAGCAGTAAATCTGGACCTAGATATGAGAGAATGGGTCTATGCAGTAAGTGTGCACCATATAAAATAATCCTGCAGCACGCAGTGCATAACGAGAAAAAAAATTGTGACTGTGCTTTTGGTTTAAAACAAGTGACTTCGTGTTGTATTTTCATATGGTTTTTATGGTTGTATTCTTGGTTTCTTGGTCTCTTTGATATAATGAAAGATATATTACAGAAATAGAGATAATTTTGATTGGTTTCAGCACTGAACGTAGCTTGAAGTTGAGCTCAAAGAAACATTCGATTTTTGCCAATACATTCCAATATGTGTCCAGCTTGCCAGTCTAATACACATTTAGAAATGTACTGACATTATTTATACAGTTATTACAATAATGTAGTAGTTTGCATAACAGTAAATCTATTTTTTGTGTGAATAAAAATTCAAAATGGAAAGCAAGCATAGTATAAGAGGGGCCTGGAGATATGACTAAAGAACAGAATAAATTTTTTTTAGTGCCAGGAATGTCTACATTGGTAATTCTGGACCATATTTTTAAATTGTCAGTTTTTGAATTTTGTGTGAAATTGGCCAAATTACTGATTTCTGATCACTTTATTGAGTAGTAGTTGAAATAGGTAAATGGGCAGTTTCTTGTGCTCTGTCAGTAAAAGGAATACTAGTGAAATAGCTATGAGTTTGGTTAACTGGAACAATGAAATTAGCCCAAAATAGGGTGCAAAATTAGCGAAATCGCTGAAGCGTAAATATTGCCGACACCGCTAACTTTACGAGACTGTAATTATGTAAGTTTTCCATTAAATTTCACACTTTTGGTTTCATTACCTTCGGAAAAAAATTCTCTACCACTTCATTTTTTTTTTTTTTTTTTTTTTTGGAGGGGGAGGGAAATTTTGTAACCCTGAGAGCAAGTTTGAGATCTGAGATTGCAACCCTAAAAGGGTTAAATACAGCAGTTATGTCTCATGTAAGAACTTTATTTCCTAAGGTAATATATGGAATTATAATAGTAAATAGACAGTAAATACTGAATCTTATAAGGAAAAGCCCATAGGACTAATGCTAGTAATATATACAGTAGGACCCTGCTTTTCGGCGTTCTGCTAATATGGTGATCTCAAATTATGACCAAAACTTCCTGTACGGCAAGTGGTCTTTCAAATACGGCACGCACCACCTGGTTTGTTTACATTCTCCATGAGCACATCTCTATTATGTAATAATAATCACTCTTGGGCACATTAAATGTCTAATTTTATGTCAATATAGACATTTTCATTAATCCATCTATGACATTTTCTTCAAAATTATATAAGAAACACATTACATAACATATAAACATTTTATATTTATATACTAAGGAGGTGTGGTTGCCAGGTGGAGGAAAAACATTACTTAATACTAACAATAATCACTCTTGGGCACATTAAATGTCTTATTTTACGTTAATATAGACATTTTCATTGATCCATCTATTATATTTTCTTCAAAATTATATAAGAAACACGCTACATAACATATAAACATTTTATGTTTATATACTAAGGAGGTGTGGTAGCTGGGCAGAGGGAAAACATTATGTCACTCCCCTTAATACATAACTCTTTTGTTTACAATTCTCGGCTTGAATTATTCATTACTTCTCCATTTGTTTATGATGGCATCTAAAGGTAGTTGATAGAAATGATTAGACTCGGTGAACATGGTATGTCGATGGTAATATGTCTCTGGGTAACATTAAATATCATGTAGCTATGTAGGTAGGTGTAGGTATGTAGCTCAGGCGGACTACATACCTACATTATTATTATAACTGATAATTGTACGTATGTGTACCTGTACCTAAGTAAACTTACACCCTGTGCTGGCATGCAGGTACACATTAAAATCACTAAGAGTGTTTTATTAGTCTTGAAGATGTCATATTAATAATGATAATAATAATAACCTGACGATCTGTTGGAGTGTGAGCAGGGTAATATTTAGTGAAGGGATTCAGGGAAACCGGTTATTTTCACATAGTCGGACTTGAGTCCTGGAAATGGGAAGTACAATGCCTGCACTTTAAAGGAGGGGTTTGGGATATTGGCAGTTTGGAGGGATATGTTGTGTATCTTTATATGTGTATGCTTCTAGACTGTTGTATTCTGAGCACCTCTGCAAAAACAGTGATAATGTGCGAGTGTGGTGAAAGTGTTGAATGATGATGAAAGTATTTTCTTTTTGGGGATTTTCTTTCTTTTTTGGGTCACCCTGCCTCGGTGGGAGACGGCCGACTTGTTGAAAAAAAAAAAAAATAATAATAACACAATAATAATCATACTAAGGAGCATATGGCATCTAAAGGTAGTTGATAGAAATGATTAGACTCGGTGAACATGGTATGTCGATGGTAATATGTCTCTGGGCCACATTAAATATCATGTAGCTATGTAGGTAGGTGTAGGTATGTAGCTCAGGCGGACTACATACCTACATTATTATTATAACTTTTAGAGAGGGTGTGGTAGGTAAGTTTGGGGTGCCAGGTGTAAATGATAATGGGAGCCCTTTGATTGAACTTTGTATAGAAAGGGGTTTAGTCATAGGTAATACATATTTTAAGAAAAAGAGGATAAATAAGTATACAAGATATGATGTAGGGCGAAATGACAGTAGTTTGTTGGATTATGTATTGGTAGATAAAAGACTGTTGAGTAGACTTCAGGATGTACATGTTTATAGAGGGGCCACAGATATATCAGATCACTTTCTAGTTGTAGCTACACTGAGAGTAAAAGGTAGATGGGATACAAGGAGAATAGAAGCATCAGGGAAGAGAGAGGTGAAGGTTTATAAGCTAAAAGAGGAGGCAGTTAGGGTAAGATATAAACAGCTATTGGAGGATAGATGGGCTAATGAGAGCATAGGCAATGGGGTCGAAGAGGTATGGGTAGGATTAAAAATGTAGTGTTTAGAGTGTTCAGCAGAAGTTTTGTGGTTACAGGAAAGTGGTGCAGGAGGGAAGAGGAGCGATGGTGAATGATGAGTAAAGAGAGTAGTAAGGGAGAAAAAGTTAGCATATGAGAAGTTTTTTACAAAGTAGAAGTGACGCAAGGAGGAAGAGTATATGGAGAAAAAGAGAGAGGTTAAGAGAGTGGTGAAGCAATGTAAAAAGAGAGCAAATGAGAGAGTGGGTGAGATTTATCAACAAATTTTGTTGAAATAAGAAAAAGTTTTGGAGTGAGATTAACAAGTTAAGAAAGCCTAGAGAACAAATGGATTTGTCAGTTAAAAATAGAGAGGAGAGTTATTAAATGGAGAGTTAGAGTATTGGGAAGATGGAGGGAATATTTTGAGGAATTGTTAAATGTTGATGAAGATAGGGAAGCTGTGATTTCGTGTATAGGGCAAGGAGGAATAACATCTTGTAGGAGTGAGGAAGAGCCAGTTGTGAGTGTGGGGGAAGTTCGTGAGGCAGTAGGTAAAATGAAAGGGGGTAAGGCAGCCGGGATTGATGGGATAAAGATAGAAATGTTAAAAGCAGGTGGGGATATAGTTTTGGAGTGGTTGGTGCAATTATTTAACCCTTTGAGGGTCGACAGGCCCTCTCCGAAACTCGTTCTCAGGGTCGGCCAA